ATTGGTATATAATCATGAAGAAAATTACATAAGATTATCAAATGGTTAATAAAAATATAAAGTACAACTAAGTACTCTGTCATTCTCTATTTTTATTTTCAGTGGAAAGCCTTATCATAAGTGAGTAGTTCTCAATTTTGGTCTCAGGACCCCTTACACTTTTAAAATCTATTGATGATCCGTTGTTTATATGGATTATGTTGATGAGAAATTAAAACTAAGAAATCTCAAATATTTATTTTATTTATAAGTAATGATAAATCCATTGCATGTTAACATAAATAGCCTATTTTAAAATGAAAAACAACTATATTTTCCAAAAGAAAATCAGTGAGAATAGTGGCATTGTTTTACATTATTTGCAAATCTCATTAATGTTTGGCTAAATCAAAGACAGGTAGATTCTCATATTTCCTGCTTTATTCAATTTGTGATGATATCACAGGTCATGTAGACTTTGGAAAATGCTATTCATTTGTAAGGGGATGAGTATGGAAAAGGCAAGTAAAGTCTAAGTATTATGAAAATAATTTTGACTTCATGAACACCTGTAAATGGGGGTCCTCAGACTACACTTTGAGAACTACTCTTCTAGGTTAATTTGAAGATCTTTCTAAAACAATGATTGGGTGCTAGACGACTTTATATTAAAAAATTAAACATGTTCTTTGATTATATCTTGCATCTTCAGTAAGAATCCCATTTCTGCCAATTATTAACTGTGTGATCTAAGACAGCCCCTGAGCTTCAATTTCCTCATCTATAAAAGGGTAATAATAATAACACCGTACCTATCTCATAGGATGATGGGATGAAGTAGCAATCAGGAAGTGGTAATTAGAGAATTCTAATTTATTTCACTTCTGGGCTCATTTCAAACCTCAGTAGCCTATTTAGTTTCCTCGTGGCCACAGTCTTGTCACTTTGAGTTAAAAAAATAAAACACCTGTAAAATTATAGCTTCTCTGAGATTCTTATGTTGCCACTAAATCCACTTATTTATGTTAAAGTAATAAACTATTTCCCTTAAGCATTTTAGTAATTAATAGAGGCCTTTCAGCCTAAGAAATGCCATATCAGTTGCCAGAACTCTGAGTTAGTACTCATTGCTGGGAGCAGGAGGTTTAAACTGAGTACTAAAACAAATGTTTCTCTTCAGCTCTTGTGCCAAATGTTAATAGTTCATTCTTGCTATCAGTATCATGTTGATAAAATACAGTTTTTTTTCAATCATAAGATGAAACAATTAAAAACTAATTCCTAAACCTTAAGAACCCATAACTGTGAGCAATGCAATTGTAGCTTTTGGTAGTTTTGGTTTAGCTAAGTGAGTTTTAAAATGGCTGTATATTACTATTCTGTTTGTATTTACCTCTTCTAATCTTAATTTGTAATAGTAATTTTTCCAACAATAACAAAAAACATTAGTAGCATTATGTACTTTAAGAGCCTTGTGGCCAAGTATAATGGTGATTACGGGTTATGGAGTCTCAAGATTTTTTCTTTTCCTTTTTCTTTTTTTTTTTTTTTTTTTCCCAGACAGAGTCTCACTCTGTTACCCCTGGGTAGAATGCAGTGGTGTCATCATAGCTCACTGCAACCTCAAACTCCTGGGCTCAAGCGATCTTCCTGCCCTCAATCTCCCAAGTAGCTGGGACTACAGGTGCGCACCGCCATGCCTGGCTAGTTTTTTCTATTTTTTTTTGGTAGAGATGGGGTCTTGCCCTTGCTCAGACTGGTCTTGAACTCCTGATCTCAAGCTACCTTCCTGCCTTGGCCTCCCAGAGTGCCAGGATTACAGGCATGAGCCACTGCATCCAGCTCTTTTTTTTTTTTTTTTTTTGAGATGAGGTCTCATTTTGTTGCCCAGGCTGGAGTGCAGTGGCATGATCATAGCTCGCTGCAGCATTGGATTCCTGGGCTTAAGCAATCCTCCTGCCTCAGTCTCCTGAGTAGCTGGAACTAAAGGTGTGCACTACCACCCCCAGCTATTTTTTTTTTTTTTAATTTAGAGATGGGGGTCTCACTATGTTGCCCAGGCTGGTACGGGCTTTTTTTCTACTCCCAACACCACCACTTGCTAGCTCTGTGAGCTTGAAAAAGTAATTTAATCCAGGTCTATTTCCTCACCTGTAAAATAGGGAGAAAAATGTCTACTTTGCAGGCCCATCATGAGAATTAAAATAAGAGATAATTATTAAACAATATGTGACAATCATACCTAGCACCAAGTGTGCACAAAATGTGTGTTCCCATTCGCTCCCTTTAGCCATTAGAAATGTTTTAAATTTAAACCTCTAGGTAGAATTGTTTCCATATTTAATGAAAATTGAATGATACAAAAATTTCACTGAATTCATGCAATTTAAAACACAGTCTGGCTATAGAGGAACTGATGAATTAACTCTTATTTGAAGTACAAAGCCTTAGAGCTCTTGAAATCCATTAAAGGATTTGAATGTTTAATCTCTTTCAAATGATGTACAAGTAAACTTCAGGGAGCAATTCACGTTTATACTATCATTATATTTTTATTAGGTGCTCTTAAATTCCATGTTTGATCCTCAGAGTTACCTTGTAAGTTAAACATTGTGCTATCATTATTAATAATTATTCTAGTTACTCTTGTAGAACTCTGTCAGTAATTATGGTAGTTATTTTGCTATGGCAGAGATATGTGCTAGTTACTTTAGATATTCTAGGTTAATTGTCTCTCTTTTCACAACAGTAGTAGAAGATGGGTAGTAGCATTCCTTTTTTTTTTTTTTTTACAGAAGTAAAAATGGAACTTTAAAGAGGTTAAGCGATATATTCTAGGTCACACAGTTAGTAGTTGGCTCTGTTGTCCCTTGAATATGTTTTGCCTTTGGATTTCGTGCACTAAAATTAAGGTACACGTTAAATGTCAGGTACAGATAATTTGATGTAATGTTACTTATTCAATTGCTTTAATATTTTTAAGAGAACAAATCAGCTCCTATGGTTTATGTCTCTCATTTCATTTCCTGATTACAGCTTGGAAGCCTTTTTGCATGTTACTGTTCCATCGAAGTCACTCAGGCAATATGGGATGGATATCTACAACAAGCAGATCCATTTTTTATTTATTTCTTAATGTTAATTATCCTTGTTAATGCAAAGTAAGTATCAAGTTGGTTAGACTTTTTTCCTCTCTTTTCTCAGGGTGGTTTGTTAATATTTAACTCCAATTTATTCGATTCCCTTTTACAGAGAAGTTATTTTAACACAAGAATCAGACAGCAAAGAAGAAGTCATCCGTAAGTACCATTTAATGTAGAGAAAACATTTCAGGTCACTTTATCTCTCTCAAACTTAGTTTCCTCATCCATAAATTTAGGAAATTAATCTAGAAGTGCTCTGAGGTCCCATTCAACCCTGAAATTATATAAACACTCTCCAGGTACAGACCTTAAAAGACTATTTTCTCTGATTTTGCCATCCTCATTCATTCCTTTGTGTTTTTTCACTCTTTCATTCCTTTACATCTGCTATTTCTTTGGTTTCAGTGTTCAAATAAAATGCCCTCCCCTCTTTCTCTCCCTACTCCTTTCTTAATTTGCCTTTCAGTACTCAGCTTACATAATATCTCCATTGTGAAACTTTGGTTCTCCTTTTGGATTCTCCCCACTGTAGCCCCCACACAGAGATATTATAGTTACTTCTCTCTGTATTGCCTGGCACTTTGTATTGTCTGTGTAATGATATAATTATTTTTATTTCCTCACACAAGACAAAGTTCCTTAAGTCAAGGACTCTTTCTTAGACATTTTTGATGTTCTGGGGTCCTGGCACTTCATATGTGTTTATTGAATAAATACATAGAATTCTGATTAAGGCTAATTAATTTGATTTGATTGACTGACACCCTCCTTCACTAACAGGAGAATTGTGTTAGTAGTTGCAGCACATTTTGGGGAATCCACTTCTCCACAAGCAGCTTTAAAGGCATCACTGTTGAGATTCCATTTACATAGTTTTTATTATGTTGAAGATATTTCAGCTTTGATACATAAATAATGTTAATTGTTTTTCATAATTTATTAAATATTATCTATAATCATGTTTCAGAGTTCTTGGAAAATACTCCATCCAGTTTGAATCTAGAAGATATAGAAGACCTTTTCTCTCTGGCTCAGTATTATTGCAGTAAAACACCAGCTTCTTTTAGGAAGGTATAAGACAAAAAATGACCATTGATTCTGTACCTCACATTTTATACATTGTTTTATTATTTACTTTGTGTCTACCTTAGTTAAAATACTCTAGGTTGTCATTCTTTTTTGGTTTTTTGTTTTTTTTTTTTATGTGTTACAGTTTTGTGTAATTTTTTTCACTAAATACTCTCTGTAGTGGAGGAACAGACAGGTTAAAAAAATAGCGGTAACCATCTTACTTCTGACTATTGTTATTTCTGATCATGAAAAAATTGTGAGATATTTCCTAAATTAGTGCTTTCTTGACTTTAAAAATTGTATTACAAAAATCTAACGAAGGATATATAGTTAGGTTTCCTTTATCTGGAGTTCAGCCTTGTACAACCTTAATGATGCAGAACTGTCTTGCAAACAAAGGGTCACTTAGCCCCATAGAGATCTAGATCCTTAGACCGGACGAGTGCTTTCAGTAAAGGACACCAGACTAGAAATATTTATAAAGCAAACAGGTTTGTCCGTGACCTCAGGTGCCCATGAGAGCATTTATTATCTTTTTTTTAAAACATTCTGCCATAATAATTTCTAATTGGTAGTCATCATGTCACTGAAATGTCAAGATAAGGTTAAATTATGTTCAGTATAGTGTGTTTCAGAAAGCAGGCAAGGGAAACCTTTTAAGAACATTTCCCTCAAAAATAGTTTAAAAAGATTGGTTTCTAGAGACTAATTTCAGCTGTTTTCCTCATGTAGATCACTTCAGTTCCCAACAGTGTTGGGAAATCAGATGGTGGGATAGTAGTTTAGGATACTGGCTGAAAAAGAAGACTTACTCTTTTCTTTTCTAGGAGGAGTACTTTTTATTCTTCAGACGTAGTAAATAATCTGCACTAGCAGCTGTAAATTAGAACAGGCTGTAGGTCAGTATGTTACATAATTTATGCAGTTCATTTCTGCCACATTTTTGTTTTTTATTACATTAATATATAAAAAACTATGAGTAACCATTTTAAAAAATTTAATATTTAACTATAGGTGATAGTTT